AAACATGTTCATAGTTGTGCTTCATGTATATTCCACCACGTTCATGGGTTTATTTGCAGCCAAGGTAAATACACATATACAGATGCCCTCTGCCAGTCATATATATATGTATATATGTGTGTGTATATATATATACATATATGTATATATATATACACACTCCCACTTCCTTCCCACACCTGTTAACCCTGTGTGTCCATGCAAACATCTACTTGAGAAGATTCCCACGTCTCTTATCTCCATCTGTCTGTCAGGCTGCTGTGTGGATGGAAGGCTGCTTGCAAAAGTTTAAGAAGGCCCGAGCTGTGATCATTCTTGTTGCTGTTCAGTCCTGTGCTAGGAGACAGGAAAAGATGCTCTCCCCCCCATTGTTGAGTGGTTTATTTCTCCAGAGTAATTAACCTTTGTGTTTGCCATGGCAGCTTTGTCTGGACCATGGGTAGAACCCGGTCTGGTCATCGAGACACGTCCAACTGCAAACCCCATCAGCATCAGGACATGAACACCAAGCTTAGTTTAGCCTCCTTGGGGGATAACGTCATAACTAAGAACAGAATTGATTTCTCTGACTATCCAAAGTTCTGCAATATTGCCAGGGAATAGACTTTTGGGGTACTCCCTGATTAAACCATGCATAAAAGTGACATTTTACAATGACTCTGTTCTCATCTTGATGATTCTTTATTAGCATTTGGCACTATAGATGAGCGAGCATCATTTGAAGGTTTCCATGACCTCTCACTTTAATGTAATTAATACAAGGAGGCTTTAAAGAGTTCATGGGAGGGAAATCCTGTTATCTTTTCTGTCCATTTTTCCAGCGAACTCTTTGAAACACCCTTCTATTGTTAATCAGTGGTGCAGGGCACATCAAGTCCTTTAAAGCAGTCAAGGAAAAGCAAATGTGTGCAACGTTTTGGTTTTTTTTGGAGAAGGCACTCTGAAGACACACCACGGAACCAGGTCGCACCCAGAGGCAAAGCTCCCAAGCAGGTGGACTGCACATCAGAGCGCTACATGATCAGCTTTTAACGCGAATGAAGCAGATTACGTTGTACACCAGTGACAGCTGCCCTTTAAGCTCAAAATCTCTGAAATGCTATGGTGCGTATGCAGGAAGTGTTGCGGATCTGACAATGCGCTGCTGCTGTTGACAGGGTTTCCCTTGGCTAATGCCTCAGAAGTGGACAGTCCTTTTTCACAGCCTGCTCTTCTGCTGGACACTCTGCTGAAACCTATTCAGCTTGGGCGACCCTGTTGGTCTTTGACATACCAGTGACATATTCCAACCTCATGGTAACACGAGAGCCACCACAGTACACCAGACTGGCGGACAGTGGTGACGTGACACAGCGCTGCGTGGATGGGCTCAAACATGAGGACAATCGTGAGGCTGGCGCAGGACCGGCGGTGTTTCATTCTGTTGTACAGAGGGCTGTCGTGAGTCGAAGCCTCTCGACAGCACTAGAAAACAGCATACTGTAATGTATTTTTAACTTTGGGCCTCTTAATGGCCTTCCTTCATGAGTAAATGCTGAGTGAGGGGATCCTTTGACTATTATCTGTTAGGCTGGGTGCTAGATATTGTTCAATACTGGGTCTTAAAAATGGAAATAGTATCTTTATTGAGGTATAAATTTTTAATCATGGGTGCTTTCAATAATGACTCCTTAGTCTATCGAAATTTTTATTGCTGGGCAAGTAGGAAAGAAAAAGGAATAAAAGCCATCCATATAGTAAAGGAAATATAAAGCTATCCCCATTTGCAAATGACATGATGTCGTATATAGGACATTCTTAAACATCAATATATAAAGATTTTTAAGCTGTCAGAACTAATGAATGAGTTTAGCAAAGCTGCAGAATATAAGATCAATATACAAAAATCAGCTGTATTTCTACTGGTGAATACTCCAACAATGAAATTAACAAACATTTTCATTCAAAAAGCATCAGAAAGAACGAAATTCAACAAAAGAAGTGTAAGGTGTGCACATTGACAACTACAAACATCCCTGAAATAAAATTTAAAAGAATTAAATAAGTAGAAAGACATTCATGTGCGTGGACTGGAAGACTTTGTTTTGTTATGTACAGGAAATACAAGGGACCCAAAATATACAAAACGATCTTGAAAATTTAAAAAAACCAACCATACATGAAATTGGAAGCCTCGAATGTCCCAACTGCAAAGCATAAAGTTACAGCAATCAAGACTGTGCAGTATATGTGATTAAGCTTTTTGGAACAAAGTAATAGAATTGAAATGGAAAACCCAGAAATAAACAAGTAAAATATACATGTTGTCACTAGGTGCCGTAGGGTCAGTTCCAAATCCTAGCAGACTTATGTATTACAGTATAATTGGACGCGCGCGCGCGCGCACACACACACACACACAAATTATCTAAAAGAAAAATTGCAGGATCCGGATCCAGCAGACATGAAGCTTCCCTAGAAAGGCTGCTTTTAAAAAGAGCAGACCACACCCCCAAAGACTCGCTCTTCCAATTGCATTAAGGCTTGTCCTAATCAAAGAGGACTGTATTCCATCACAGCGACTGGCATGGAGTTGATTACTTTGCATTAGATCAGTTCATGGTAGATTACTTCCAGACTGTGAGACCCTTCAGTAATCATGCGGTTTACTATTCTGAGGATGGCACAATCAAGAAGAATGGCGTAGCATACATAGTTCAAAAAGGACATTTCAAGATTTATCTTGGAGTACAAGGTGGTATGTGATATGTTTATATCTTTCTGCATTCAAAGAAATCCAACCAATACAACAATTATTCAAATGTATGCACTAACCCCAAAGTTAGTGATGAGGAAGAGGAAGAATTCTACCAATGTATTCAATCTGAAATTGATCAAACATTCGATCAAAATGCATCGATCATTATTGGCAACTAGAATGCCAAGGGCGGAAATAAAGAGGAGCAGTAGTTAGAAAATAGGGCCTTGGTGATAGAAAAACTGGAGATTGCACGATGGAATTGTTCATCACAGAGACATGTTTTCAACAACACAAAGAGGACCTAGACACGTCGGCTTCTTCAGAGGCAATATACGGAAATCAAATTGACTACCTCTGAAGAGACCGTGGAGAAGACCAATATCAGTAACTAAGACCAGGCCAGGAGCTGACTGGAGCAGACGATCATTTGCTCATAGGTAAATTCAAGTTGAAACTGAAGAAAATTGAAACAGGTCCACAGGAGCCAAAATACAACCTTGAGTCTATCCCACCTGATTTCTGAGAACATCTCAAGAACAGGTTGGGCTCATTGAACATGAATGACAGGAGACCCGAGGAACATGGGATGACAGCACGAACATCTTTCACGGAGAAGCATAAGGTCATGGAAAGACAGGACCAAAGTGGATGTCAGCACAGACTCGGAAACTTGCTCTTCCTCGTACAGTAGCTAAGGCGCATGGCAGAAATGATGACGTCAGAGAACCGAACAGAAAATTTCAAAGGGCAGCTCGAGAATACAATCCTGAAGCACACCTCCCTTGGTTTTAAACCATACATATTACCTTGTTCTGTTCACATAACTGTCGCTTGATCCCTATACAGGTCCCTTATAATGAAGTGTTCTAGAATTCCCATTCTTCTCTAGGCTTTCCATAGTTTGTTATGATCCACACAATCAAATGCCTTTGCACAGTCAATGAAACACAACTAAACCTCTTTCTGGTATTCTCTGCTTTCAGCCAAGAGCCATCTGACATCAGCCATGATAGATAGCCCTTGTTCAATATCTTCTTCTGAATCCAGCCCGAACCTTTGCCAGCTCTCTGTCAATGTACTGCTGCAACTCTTATTGGATGATCTTAAGCAAAATTTTACTTGCATGTGATATCAATGACACTTCTATAATTGTGAATATTTTATTGGGTCACCTTTCTTTGGAATGAATACAAATATGGATCTCTTCCAGTCAGTTGGCCAAGGAGATGTCTTCCAAAGTTCCTGGTGTAGATGAATGAGTGCTTCCAGGGCTTCATCAGCATGTTGAAACATCTCAATTGGTATCCCATTAATTCCTGGAGCATTGGTTTTGCCTAATGCTCTCTGTGCAGATACCATGCAACCGAGCAATTCCATTACTATTTATATATTCAAGATAATTGGAAACATATGTCCATGCAAAAAATTGTTTACAGATGTCCTTAGCAGTATTAATCATGGTATCCAAAGAATAGAAATAATTCAAATGTTCACCAGCTGATGAATAAGGAAGCAAAATGTGGTATATCCAGATGATGAAGTATTTTCCAGTCATATGAAGGGCACCATGGTGAATAGAAAACAAACACAGTCACTACCATGGGGTCAATGCCACCTCATACTGACCTTATAGGATAATGTAGAACTGCCTCTGAGGCTTTCTGAGACTGTTACTGTGTATGGAAGTCGAAGGGCAGTGACAAAGGGGCGCCACGATGGCTCAAACATAATCATTGTGGCGATGACGCAGGACTGGCCAGTGCTTTGTTCTGCAGTATACAGGGTCACTAAGAGTTGGACCCAACAGGACCACACTGCATACATCGCATGTGATATATGCTACAACGTGGGCGAACCTCAAAAACATTCTATTAAGTATAAGAACTCAGACACAAACAGCCACACATTGCATGGCTCAATTTATCTGGCACGCTCAGAATCCTGTAGAGACAAAAAGTGCATTAGTGTTTCCACAGGCTAGTGCCTGCTAAGGGGTGTGAGGTCTCTCTTGAAAATGATCTAGAATCAGATCCTGGTGATAGTGGTACAGCTTGTTGGACACAGATAGTCTCCAATTCATGCTGGAGTTTTATACCGACAGCTCGGTGGTCACTCGGCTCTCCTAAGTGACAGCATGGAGATAGACAGTCTGTCACTGCTCGTGTCTCATTCCCATTTATTGACTGGTGTGAAATTGGGGGAGCAATCGTGGACATTGAAATACACAGGTGTCAAGTGTGCTGTCTCACTTTTTCCCCAGGTCCTCCCGTTCCCGAGCCAGGTGGTCTACAACAGAGTGGGCAAGTGTGGGAGTCGCACTGTGGTCTTGCTCCTGAGAATCTTGTCCGAGAAACATGGATTCAATTTGGTCACTTCTGACGTTCACAACAAAACCAGGCTTACCAAAAGCGAACAAGTGAGTTGCCGTGGCCCACAGCCGAATGATCTTTTCCTTCCGCGTGTGTCTGTGTGATCCGTGGGGTGTTCCAGGACATCCTGGGAACTCTTGTCAATGAAAAGTCCAGGGTCGCCTCTCGTGCTGCACCAAGGTTGAAGAAAGCACACCAGTTCGGAATGAGTTCTTTTCAAACCAGAAAGTTTCCCTGGAGGGCTGTTTTTATTATTACTAATTAAGGACTGTGTAGACTTGTGTTTGTCTGTTTAGCTAAAATTAGCCATGCATAAATAAGTAATTGTGCTGCTGAGTGTGACTAATGCTGACATCTTGACGGCAAAGTGAGAAAACTTTTTTAACACGTGTTCCTCTGCCTTTTGTCTGGGGAGCCCTCATTCTGCGTGCTACCAGCACAGCGAAATCCCTCCCTGGATCAGGGATTCCATTGGTTGATGGCACGATGTCCTTTATGGTAACAAACAGAGCACTTGGGGTATTCTGTGGTCACATGGGGAGTACTGGTGGAGCAGTGGCTATTCATTCGTTATTCAAGGTCCTCAGTTCAAAACCACCAGCTGCTCCTTGGCAGAAAGCTGGGGTTTTCTACTCCCCTAAACAGTTCCAGTTTCAGAAACTCACAGGGGCAGTTCATACCCTAAGAGAAGGCATCGGCTCGATGGCAGGCAGGGAGGGAGCACTAGAATGGATTGTGATTGCATAACTCATTTTATAGGCAGTTTAACCATGGTGTGTGTGTGTGTGTGTGTGTGTGTGTGTGTGTGTGTGTGTGTGATCCTGTAAAATTGCTGCGGCGATGATTGTACAATTCTCCTTGAATTGATTGAATGATTGAATGTTGAATTGTTTATAATGCAAATTATGTGTCAATAAAACTGATAAGGGGAAAAAATGTGGGGGAATCAGCAATTGCAAAAACAAACAAACAAAAGCAAAACAACCTGTAGAGTGGCTTCGAGAGGAGAAACACGGAGCTTGTTCCTGCCCTACAGAGTGGTAGCCTAGAAAGCCCACAGGGGCAGTGCTACCCTGTCCTGTAGGGTCGCTGCGGGTCGGCTTCCACTCGGTAGCAGTGAGTTTGAGATTTTTAAGACAAGAAATAAAGGCGTCCATCCAGTATGTGGGAAACTTCCATGTAGAATCTTTGAGTCCTGAGTTTAAATTGTCATTACCAACCTGCCAAAAAAAAAAAAAAATCAGAAATGGGACCCCCAGGGAGGAAGTAACACACGTGACCCTCCATTCTGGGGAATGTAATCCAAAACATGAAACAAAGCGTGCCTGAATAATTGAGTGGACCCTGATCTGTTCTGTAAGCCTTCACGTCGTGTTCAATACATTTTTTTAAAATAAAGCAGAGTCCGGTCCAGGTTTATCCCTCAGTGACCGTATTATGCTGGAAGGAAGCGTCACAGAGAAAATGCTTTCTGAACGCACCAGAGATCCACTGTCTTGCAGCACTGGGACCACAAGTCTGAATTCAAGGCCCAGAGCTTCATGTCAAGTTGCCAGCAGGGCAGAGCTCTTGCTAAAGGGGCAGGAGAAGGAGATTCCTTCTTACCCCCTGGCTTGTGGTGGCCTCAAGCCTTCCTTGGGGTGCAGCTGCGACTTCCCTCCACCTGCACCTGGCCACCTTCCCTCTCTCCTGTCTTTGTGCTCTCCTCCTCTTTCCTGAGGAGACCTCTCAGCTGGGTTAGGACCCACCTGGCTGCAGGATGATAACATCGATTCCCAGACAGGGCCCCTTGCACAGATACATGGAGATTAAAGCTTCGCTTTCTTTGTCTCTGCGAGATGTGATTTGACCCAGAACAGCGGTGGCTGTGGATGACACACACTGGAAGAATACCCATGTTGAATAGAGTAGGTTCTCTTTGATTTCCTCACCAGATGGAAGGAGCAATGCTGTGTACTACAGGAAAGAGAGTGGCTGTAATGGAAAAGCATAGGCTGTTGGAGTTCTATTATATTTGTCTGTTTTCATAACTATTTAATTTGGTTTTCCTGTGAATCTAAGTCGAAGGGTCTGCTTACCCGAATATGTTTAACTATTCTGAACCAAGAATCCACATGTACTGCTCTTGAGTCAGTGCTGCTGCATGGAAACCCCCTGTGATTTTCCGAAATGATAACTGTTGACGGAGTAGAAAGCCCAGTCTTCCTCCCTCGGAGCTGCTGGTGGTCTCGAACTGCCGACTGTTTGGATTGCAGCCCAGCCCATCACCTCTACACCACCAGGGCTCTCTGTGAAAATTGTCAGGTGGTCCGTAGCTGCCTCATAAAACACAGCAGCCATTGAGCATTTCCCACCACTGAAAAGGGATTCAGAGAGAGCCAAGACAAGATGAGACGTTGAGATGTGCAGGGATGTCCTAGAGGCGAGAACGTGCACGATATTGTTGCCGTTGTTGTAATTAGCTGCCTTCAAGACAGCTACTGGCCATGGTGACCCCGTGGCCCATGAAAATGCTGCCCACGCCTGCACTGTGGCCACTAACATGTCAGATCATTGTCACCCACAGGATTTTCTCTGGTTGACTTTTAGAAATCCATCCAGCATCCTAGAAGCCTTCCAAAAGATGAGCGTTTAAATACACCCTCCGATTTTATGCAGACAGGCCCACTTTGCATCCTGTGAGGCAAAAGCACGAGCAAGTAAAATAAAATTCTTACCGTAACCAGAGGGCTTTAGATTAAGAAAGAGTAATTTACGAATGGTGGGCAGACTGGTAAACCAGAGAGGGTTAAAGACAGTCATCCTCGGCAATCGGAGTCTCGGTTTATGTCTCATCTCTTTGGAATGACTTGGCTCCTCTGCAGTCCAGGGAACAGACCAGGCAATCTTTGAAGGTCCTCTCCAGCCCCGGGGCTCTCTGCTCTCTGGATGCAGCTTCCAGGATAATCTGTACATTGTGTAGTTAGAACCTTTCTGGTTCCTATGGTCAGAGTGACCTAGATACATTTCTCTACTTAGTCCAGGTTCCTAGTAAATTATACGGCAAGTGGTTCAACCTAAGGGAAAGAGCAAAGAGGGAAAACCAACAGGCCATTTCCATCTGGAAGCCAAAAAAAGCAAAAGCCGGGCCCGATGATCTCTTCAGCTCGCTGATGGTCTGCCGATCTGCGGAGAGGGCCAGCCAGGAAAAAAATGTGACAAACCACCAAGTTGGGAGCAGATCAAGAATGCTTCAAGAAACGGTGTCTTTGTTAGACATATCCCTTTTGCTGAAGTTTCAAAGGCCATCAGACATGCAGAGGAAGCAAATATGATCTGGATATAATCGGTGTAAGAAGTGATTTGTGGTGTGAGCTGTGACTCTTCTGGTCACTTATGAAGGAAAGAGGAGGAAGTCTTTTAGGGGACTAATTAAAATGTTATCCTCAGTGGCCCTCGACTTTCAGCAGCAGAGCTGGGAACATCAGTTCCCATGGCAACGTGTTTTTTTAAGTGTCAATAACAACTCTGCTGCAGGGTCAGAAGGAGTTAAAGAGACTCTTGTGAGTTGACCAGGCACATGCAGACGATTGCTTTTACGAGAAAATGGGTTCCAAGTTCCAAACTTCTGACTTAGACCTTGTATTAGTCTAGGTACTTTGGAGAAACAAATCCACAGCAACTCATGTATAAGAGAGAGTTTCATGCAAAGAAAATGTGCATCACGAAAACATCCCAACCCAATGCTGCCCAAGCCCACAAGTCCAACATTAACCCATTAACCCAACACCAGTTCACAAAGTCCTTCACCTCACAAAACAGAGGCAATAATGCCGACTGCAGGAGGAAAGCTGAGTCAGTGAACGTGTAAGCATCTCAGCACTGGCAGGGGTCTCCACACGGCTGCTCCAGCACCCAGGGCTGCATCGGGATAGATCCATGCGGCTTCTCCTTGGGGATGTCTTGTAGGAAATCCATCTTGCAAGCTGAAGCAGGGAACTGCTAAGGCAGCTGCACCCGGTGTTACCATCACAAAACAAGAGACCCAAGAACTAGAAAGGCGAGGCTTCACCACCCATTTATCCCTCCGCCTTTCAACCAGCCCCACATGTGATTATCGGCCAGGCTGGCACAATTAACTAACTCAGACCTGAACGTGGGAATAGCATCCACGTGTCAGGCTGGGGTGTATCTATGTGGTTTCATTCATAGCCTCCAAGGCCTCCCGCAGACTCAGGCTCAAGGACAAGTTCTCCTCTTCACATCTTCCAGTGAGGGTAGCTGCCGTCACACAGAGACATAGACGCATAGGCACACATACATGTGCACACTCCCATTATTGCACTTTAAGAAATCGACTAAGTGGAAGAAACTGGGCAAAGGGGTATGAGATGAGAGACACCAAGTGTTCTTGTTATTAGTGCCAGTCAGTCTATCCTGACCCATAGCCACCCTGTGCACAACAGAAGGAAACGCGGCCTGAGTAATTGTGCCATCCTCACAATGGCTCTTGTGTCTGAGCTCAGCCAGGCAGCCACTGTGTCCCTCCAGCTCATTTGGAGCCTTCCTCTTTTTGCTGCCCCTCCTCTCTTACCAAACATGATGTCCTTCTCCGGGGCCTGGTCTCTCCTGACAACCTGTCCACAGACTGTGAGAGGGGGTCTCACCAGCCTTCCCTCCCAGGAGCATTCTGGCTGGACTTCTTCCGAGACAGATGTGTTTGATCTTTGGGCAGCCCCAGGTACTTTGCACATTCGTCACCAGCACCATCATTCAGAAGCATGGATTCTTCTCCACGCTCCGTTATTCAACGTCGGAGGCGATTGAACATCACACAGCTGGGGTCAAGCGCCCCTTCCTCCTCGAAGGAACATCTTTGCTTTTCAAAACTCTAAAGCAATTGTGTGCAGCACATTTGCCCCATGCTGGGCACCATCTGCTCTCATGACTGCTGCTTCCGTGAGCATTGCTTGTGGATCCAAGCAAGATGAAATCCTGGACACCTGCCCTCCCATCTCTGTGATGAGGTGACCTCCTGGGCAAGAGAGTATGAATATGGAGACAGAAA